AGGCCAAGCATGAGAAGGCCGTGATGCAGAGCTGGAGGCAGTGGGCGCAGGCAGCTTTTGTGGCTGGAGCCAAGGGAGCTCACCGATTCATGAAGCCCAAGGCTCTCCAGGAGATCGTGGACGGAGGCAATGGGCTACAACATGGGTACGTACTGGCTGATCGTAAGCTTGAATATTGGGAAAGCTTCTGGGTGCGGCATGGCGGTGAGCTGGCTCGCCGACCTGTTGATGCGGACACTTGGGAGCAGCTGCCAAGGCTTGAGGCGGCCGACGTACTCAAGGCAATCCGTTGTTTCTCTTGGCAGACAGGCGTCGGGCAGATCAACATCGCGCCCAGGGCCATGGAGCACCTCTCCCACGGGGCGCTGACGGCCATGGCGCGCCTCTTCGAGCGGTGCGAGCACCTCCTGCTGTGGCCAGACGGCAGATTCCTCTCGAAGCTCGTGAGACTCCCCAAGCCAGGGGGTGGGGAGCGCCTGATTGTGCTGATGAACACGCTGGTCAGGATCTGGGGACGGGCGAGGCGGCCTGTCTCGGCAGCGTGGGAGAAGGCCCATGCGCTCCCAGAGGTCTGGGGCCACACTGGAGGCAAGTCGTCGAGTGATGCGGCCTTTGATTTGGCTCTCACCAAGGAGATGGCGACCCTGTGCGATGACGACGCCATCATTGTGCTGCTGGACATGCTCAAATGCTACGAGCTGGTCAGGCATGATGCCATTTTGTTGGAGTGCAGGGCCAATGGATATCCTATGCGAATGGCGTTCATGCTTGTGCAGATGTACCAGCAGCTGCGTTCGGTGCACTCGTATTCTTCGTATTCAGTGGCGCGCAGGGCGTATCAGGGCATCCTGGCAGGCTGCACCCACGCCACTACGCTTCTCATGGTGTTGTTGACTCGCAGCATTCGCCAGACGATGTCGGTCGCTCCTCAGGTTCAGCCCAAGGACTTGGTGGACGACGTCGCGCTGTGCTGGGTCGGCAACGACCCGAGCGGGGTGCGAGAAATGGCCATTGCCACTCGTGCGTTCTGCAGGGCTGTCCGGCCCCTCGGGCTGGTGCTGCAGATGGATAAGTCTGGGCACCTAACGACGTCCAGGCGCACCAGCTACCACTTTCAGAAGTACGCTAGGCTGCTGAAGATCGCTGGCAAGAGGCACATGCGGTATCTTGGCCACGACCTAGCTGGGTCGTCGGCCACAAGGGCCGTGCAGAAGGGACGCCTGAAGGCCATGCACGGCAAGAAGGCCAGCGTTCGAGCATTGCAGAAGGGAGCAGGACGACAGCGGGCGGCTCGGCTTTGGGCCACGGGTGTGCTGCCATCCGTGGGGCACGGAGCCACGGTCAGCGGCATCAGCGACACGGAGCTTCAGCAGATGAGGACCATGGCTGGCGTCTTCTGTGGCTACAAGGGGTCGGGCTCCCTGACGCTGTACCTGGCCGCGCAGCAGTGGAACTTCGACCCCATATTCCACGCTACCTTCAGCATCGTGGGGCAGTACGCGGCGTGGGTGTGGGATGGGCGTGTGACGCTCTCCCGACTGCAGCGGGCCTGGATGGGCTTGCGTGACTCCTGGGAAGCCCGCCACACTCACGTCACGTGGGCCAGTGCGCAGGGCCCGCTGTCGGCTTTGTGGTTGTCCCTCAGGAGAGTCAACTGGAACATGGCAAGTTCTACTATCTTGGTTGACGATGAGGGCCTGCATATCAGTTTGCT